TGTAGTGGCAGACTCTTGTAATCCCAGCATTCTGGAAGGCTGAGGCAGGAGCATCACAACTTCAAGCCCAGTCTGGGCAGTTTAGCAAGGCTCAGTCTCAAAATTTTTAAAAAGCAGTATAAGGAGCCAAGACAGCTCAGTGCAAAACTCTTGCATTCAATTCAAAGCACAGGGAAAAAAAGCCTGAAAAATAGCAAGCTTTATTATTAAAGGCCCAGTGAGTAAGTATTTTAGCCTTTCTGGCCCTCTTCAGTGTGTTGTTGTACTTTTGGTAATATGTAAATGAAATGACATGGCAGTGTTCCAATGAAGATTTATTTATAAAAATAGATAACTGTCCAAATTTTGTCCACAAACCATAGGTTGCTGAACCTATGCTGAACGTCTACATTCTTGATGTGTAGCATTCCCAGTGTCTCTAAAATAATAACACAAAAGCAATGAACATTTCTTAATTTTCTTGTTGCTGTGGCAAAATATCAATTACCCACAAATTGAATGCAAAGAGGCTTATTTTGCCTTAGTTTGTAGAGATTTTAGTTCCTACATAGTTGGCTGGCTCCAAGGCAAGGTGGCATGGCAGAGGGTCATAGTGGAGGAGAGCTGAGCAGAACTACTCACAGAATGGTAGTGGGAAGGAAGAGTCCAAGGAGGAAGATAAACCCCTTCCAGGGCACACCTCCAGTGACCCATCTCTTCCAGCCAGGCTCCACCTTCTACTAGTAAGTCCACTATAAGCACCCATAATCCAACCACCTTCCAAAAGCCCTGCCTCTAAGCACATGAGACCCTTAGAGGGACATCTACCTATAACCCATTAACACTCTCTATCAAACCTTTTATCTGTATATATCTAACTTGAATTTCACAGCCAGGAAATTTTGTGATGTGCAGAAAAGGCATGGAATATGTGTTCTCACTGAGAACCTTGGCTGTGAATGCTACAGATGTAAGCATGGCAGACACAAGTACAGAAATACTTAGAGAAGCATTGGAGACTCATGACTCAGTAGAAATAAAAAGGAAATAGGAGTGTGTGTCAAATGAAAATACCACATTTTTGGAAACCTGCTAATTTTACACAGTAAGTTTATGCCACAAAACTGGCAGAAACTGTTAGTTCTTGCAATAATCAAACTGGATAGCTGAGTTTCAATGAATAGTCTAAAGAGTTTCTCCATGAAGTAGCTTTTATCTTTAATACTGTCCAGTGAAATTTTGTTTCTAGGGATATAATTCTCATTTTATAATGATTTAGGATTACAATACGGAATGCAGTGTTTGAAAATGGATTTTTATGCTTTTCTGAGTTACAAAACACATATTGTTAATGGCCAATGTAGCTGTAGATTTAATCAGTGATTTAATCAAATAGTAACCTAGGTGGTGCTGTGCACTTATCTCATAGATGTAGTACTTTTTAAACTTTTGTGCAGGGTTTGCTATGTAGCCCAGGCTCACCTAGAACTTGCAGAAACCCTACCTTAGCCTCCCAGCCTCCCATGTGCTGGGATTACAGTATGTACCACACTACACCTGGCTAAAGCACCTCACCCTTGATAATGTGGGTAGGCAGCTTCCAATCAGTTGAAGGCCTTAAAGCTTCAGTTTTCTGTAAAAGAAATCCTGTCTCAGAACTGCAAGTCACCAGTCTGTTTGCTTCATACATTTTCAAACTCAAGACTACAGCACCAACTTCCCTGAGTTTCCAACCTCCCAGAATGCCCTGTAATCCAAACACGGCTGCTCTGTTAGGTAGGGTCTCCAGAAAAATAGAACTCATAGGATATAGATGTGTAGGTAGGCAGGGACAGAAATATTAATCATTGGAATCTGTGATTATGGAGGTCGAAATCTCAGGATCTTCAATCCGCAAATCGAAGGCCCAGGAAAGTTGATACTACTCTTTCGGGGCAAACACAAAGGTCTGTGAACTAGGAGAGTAATTGGAGTACATCTGAATCTAAAATCCAGGAAAGAGAAGTAGTGATGTCTGGAAGCAAGTGAGTATCTCTGCTTCAAAGGAGAGCAAATTTGGCTTTCCTGTGCAGTTTCGAATTATTCAGGGCCTCAATGAATTGGGTAATGCTCACCAATTATGATTTTCTTTGTTGAATGTACTGTGTATCTTGTAGAAACAGCCTCACAGATATGCAGAGACATGTTTTACCAGTAATCCAGGGACCCCTTAGCCCAGCCAAACTGACATAAAATTCATCATCACACTAACTTCAACTCATACATATACATATACATGTATATACACATAGCCTGCTGGATCTGTTTATTTGGTGAACCCTCCCAACACAATACATTAAGTTGAAAGAGTAAACTGTATGTATTTTTAGCAGAAAAGTCAAAAAGTGCGATTCTGTGTTTGCTAATTTATTCCAAACTGTCAGTCAGTTGTGCCTAAGTATACTGCTAACTTCAAGTCTGGAAGTTTTAGATACCATTTAGGAGAAATAAACCATTCTTTTTTACAGAAAAAAGTTTCTAGCATTTCTCTTATTTTTATGGAGTGGGTCAACCTAGAGAGCAGCATTAACCAGATTGATAGGTGATAAATGTAGACACTAGGGAGTAATGCTCGAAGCTCATTATTCACATGTGAACCTGACTGAACTGAAATCTCCCAACAAACCCACTTATAGTCCCTAATGTGCACACAGCAGATAAACCATAAGAGGTGATTTCTTTTTACCTCAGTTATCCTTTGCCAGTGGTTATACAACCAACTGAAGTACAGTATTGCAACTTAGAATCCAGTATCATTATTCTTTGCAATACCTTATATCAAACCCAATCTCAATAAAACCAAAACAAAATCCCCATTAAAGTCTCCCGTTTTGGGGGGGGGGATTATAGTGTTTCACACATGCTCAGCCACTTTGTTGATCTGAGTTCAATCAGAAAATAGAAATTTAAGTTATTTGAACATAAGTTTAATATGAAGATATGGTAAGATCATCTATAGGAAGATAGTCTATAGGAAGACAGTCAAACCTACATTATGTGCTAGGGTTGTGGACATGTACTCAAAGACACATTTGTAGAGGTCTCAATACCTAAAACTTAGGTTCAGATCTTGTTAACAGTATAGTTGCACCCTATTGATGGCAGGAAAGTTTGCTAATTTACCTAAGCCAACACTCTGTGGTCACTGCACAAACAGAAAGCCACCCTGGAGGGCAGGTGGCATGCAGTCAACATACAAACAGGCCCCAGGTAGTGTACGGAGGAGTGAGTATGCAGGTTTGGGATCCCATCGCAAGCCTCTGCGACACAGGCAGAGCAATAGCCAATGGCCAACAATGAAGTCAAGCAGGACTAGGAGTGCTGGTGTGGCAGGAGGTCTAGGCATTAGGAGGGCATGGATCAACCTGGGAAAGGCAGGGGAATGAATGCAGGAATGCTGTTGCTGCAGGACAGGGACCGGGAGTATATGAAGTCCATGTTGAGAAAGCAGCAAGAAAACTAATCTGGCAGTTCAGCAAGGTGCTGTGAGGGTCTCAGGGACCAGACACTGTGGGTTTATGGTGGGGACAGCAGGTCACAAGGTATTTTCATATCTGCATTACTAACCTGTAGCAAAGTGGAAAGAGGAAGGTCCCTTCCGCTTGTAATGTAACTAAGATGTCCTCTACGGAGTAAGTTCACCATGTTTACTGTAAGGAAGAAATGCTTAAAGACATTCTGTCCATCATCACCAAGAATGTGTTGAAGGGCAAATTTGAAGCTGTGGGGCGATGTAACTGGCATAGGCTACTCCCTTGGCTATTCAGCTTTCACATTCACCTCTGTACACGTATCTCATTTGCAGCAAAACCACCCTACGTTTCTACCTAACAACATACACCACACCCTCTAAATCAAGTTCTCTTTCCCAATACGAGATGATTCACAGCCTGAAATATTTCCAATCATCATGGGCCCATCTTTGAATTCAGTCAGGCTTCCATTTAATAGGCTGTTACCTAAAGACAAGTGAAGTTAACCTTCAATAAACGTGTGAATAAAATTAAAAATAGGAACCACGGCAGCAAAACACAGAAACGTAAATATATAAAAATGCATGCATGCATATAATAAACAAAAATATGCAAAGGAACTATAGTCTCTTTTTACTGACCTCAAAGTCTGAGTTCAATTGCCAATTTTAATTTTTCAACCTTACGTAAAAATCTTAAGACACTTTCAGTTCCTGATACGTGACCCAAACTTTGGTTCCTCATCCATCTGAGACCTGAGTCACTCTGTTTTGTTGGTGCTGGTACTGTCAGTTTTCCATTAACTTCTATCAGGCAGGCATATGCAGTGGGCAGAATGCCACAACACAACCCTTGGAAACTATAAGTATGTTATGTCACAGGATAAATGAGAATTAAGGCTGTTAAATCTTAAAACAGGGTGACATCCTAGACTACCTATAAATCCAGTCTAATCACATTGCTTATTAAAAGCAGAAGAGGAAGAGAGAGGGAGAACCGCATAAGGCAGTATATAAGGACTCAGGCCAGCATTTCTGACCTTGAAGATGAACAGATGAGGCAAAAAGCCAAGGCATGTGGGCAGCTTCTCTAACTTTAAAAAGATACATAGATTTTGTGCTCAAAGCAACCTGTTAACATTTTGGTTTTAGTCTGGTGATACGCCTCCACTTGGACTCCTACTTTCCCAAAATGTAAGGTAACAAAACTGTGTTGGTTTAAGCTATTACATTTGTACTAAATTTCTTATAGAAGCAAAAGAAAGCAAATACACTGTGTATCACCTTTTTAGCTGCATGGACTACCTGGAAATCTGATCCATAATTTAAATAATCAATTTAAGCCCCAAATATACAACCACAGAGATACTAATGAATTGCCTTTTATTTAAAGTAACAATGTAACAAAGTAACATATAGGCAGTATACATCCATTCATATTTCTCAGAACTTTCCTTTTATAGGGAAATGATAGATTCCACCCAAGATCTTCTGTCATGGATACCCCTATTATCTTCTTCACTTTTCAAACTGCCCTACACTTGAAACTGTTACATGGATAAGGATGTAAACTTCATACTAAAAAAAATCTCCTCACTTCAGACAACTCTATTTTGGATTTATTTCCAAACAACTTTTACTAAAACTCTTATTATAAGACCTATGTAACTGGGCTTAGAATTAACTATCCTAAAGAGGTCAAAAGCCTGGAATTCAGAAGCCAAATTGTTACTCTTTTCTCTACATGCAAATCTCCCCTTAGTCTTCAGCTCCCTCAGATGTTAAACATATTTCATAAATGGAGGATGTCTCTGTTGTTTTAAAAGCTTCTAGGAGACTAAGTCAATTAGGAGGCTCTTTGCCTGTATGTCTCACTAATCTTCAAGTCCTATTCAGACCTCCTTCTAATATACACTGTATTCTAAATGATAGAATCATCAAGCTTTAGAATCCATTTTTTTTCACTTTAGAGAGAACTACTTAACTTTCCTACACCACTGAATTCTAATTCACCCTTTTAAAGATCCCTAGGATTAAGGACATCATCAATAAATTCTTGGATTAATATAGCTACACTAATACTATACCCCCATATTCAGGGGGAAACTTGTGTTGGTAAAGGTGGGATTAAAAACCAATCCCTCCATGTAATGTAAGAAAGACACAGTGCAAGTCATTCATTCCCCAAAAAGATGCAAAGCACTACAGATTCACTGCCTCTAAAGCAAGAAAAAGCATTACAGAGATAGTACATGTTTAGTATCAAAATTAAACCCCTGGATTACACACAGTACTTACAGAATATAAGCACCCTGAAAAGCCACATGGATTTCTTTACAAACAGTTTAGGTTTCCATACAGTTTGTCATGTTGTACCAAAACAGTAACAAGTAAATCTTTCAAATCCTAAAAGTCTACTTTTAAACATGTATTGTTTACTTACTAAAAGAACAAAACTACCATGCTATAAGACACAAAGGAGTGAAAGAAATCTAAAACAGTCTTGTAACGTTGAATGCAGAAGATTCTTCAAGTAAACAAAGTTCCTTGGTGGCAATGCAAGTGTTCCTCTGAGCAGTCCAAAACTGGCCTCCTATCAGCAAGGGTGTCAACAGCTTGCTAGCACACATACGGAAAAGTGGGCAAATCAACTTCTCTCTAAGATCCCAGTCTGAGGACATATTTTCCCCACTTGAGCATTGAGGAAGATAAGGGAGAGGCTCAGTAGACAACTTGAAGACCTGACATGGTATGGTATTCAGTGTCATTTAAACAACAAGAAGATTCAAAAGTTATCAGCCTCATCTAAATTTTTTTTGGTCAGGATCCTAGTAACTATTATTTTTCTACCGAAGCACTAGGTATGATCAGCAGAAGTATGACTTTTCTGGGTTACTTTTCAGTAAGTTCACAAAGGAAAAACATACCCCAAAATAAATGCTAAAAATGCAATCAAAGTCTTATAAACCAAGAAACTCAGATGTGTAACTAATAACACCAACATGCTCTACAAACTATAGTAGGGCTTACAATTTCTTAAGTGCTAGAATCTCTATCAGATTGCTGCTCTTTGCCTCCAGTATCTGGATCAGTAGGTCTGCAATGGAACTCAAAATGCTGCATTTCAAATTAGGTCCCCTGTTCTTGCGATGCTGCTGATACACACACTTCTCAAAGCACTGCATTAGAACATGAAAAGCACATATGCCTTGGAGGAGAGAAAATGTTCATCAGCCAGAGCTGTGGGACTGAAATGTGTATCAGGGTTAGAATAGTGATTTTTTTTTTCCCTTAAGAATGTTTGCTTGAACTTCAGTCTTAAGACTAATCTCTAGGTCTATGCAGTTCAGAGCTCTCTTTCCATGGACGAAGTGGTAGTGAGTGAGGCAATCCAAGAGATCTGAGCAGAGGTGTCTGCCCTCCTAAGAGGCCTTCTTTGCCTTGTTGCTGCGAGCCTCAGATTTGGACCGAGACTTAGCCTTAGATTTAGACTGGGATCGAGACCGAGACCGAGCCCGAGCCCGAGCCCGAGCCCGAGCCCGAGCCCGAGCCGGAGCCGGAGCCTGAGCCTGAGCCTGAGCCTGAGATTGAGCCTGAGCCTGAGCCTGAGCCTGAGCCTGAGCCTGAGCCTGAGCCTGAGATTGAGCCTGAGCCTGAGCCTGAGCCTGAGCCTGAGCCTGAGCCTGGGATTGATCCTGAGCCTCAGCCTGAGCCTCAGCCTGGGTGGTCATTAGCCTTAGCACCAGCTCCTCAAAGATCTCATTATGCATGTAAAAGAAGATGTAGCCTGAAGAAACCCTATCCTTCTTCACCTGGGACTCTGAGATACTTGATACCAGCAGATCATTGTAAGTGGACCAGGCCTGCTTCGTAAAGTCATAGGCATCAGTGATATAGTGTCCTGAATTGAGGGTACTTCCAAGGTGGCTGATAATACCAATGAGCCTGTAAGTATGAGGATTTATGTTATCAACCTTTTCTTCTGGTTCTGAGATTTTTGATTTTGTCTTCTTACGGGAACTATCTTTGTTTCCAGGTTTAGCCTTCTGCAGATTTAATTCTGTTTGTCCTCTAACGTTTACTTGGTGCTTCTGGGCATCTGGCTTTGGAATGCCTTCAGGAAGTGTGTGTTGAGGGGTATCTTTATGGATTCCCCTTTCATCATATCCCTTATTTTGTTTAGTAACTTTCCGGGATTTTCCTGTAACTCTGGTTTTCTTATCTTTGGAAAAGTCTCCAGTGGTCTCACTGACACTAACAAAATCTGATTCTGCAAATGTATTGGTTTTTCCAGACTTCTTTACTTTTCGATTTTCAGGCATTGCTTGAACTTGTGTTTCTGTAAGACAGGTGTCTGAGCTGCTAAAGGGTGTACCCGAATACCTGGAGAACAGAGGAAGGTAAGGGTCTTCCAGGTTCATCAATGAGTCGGCTAATTGCTGTTCTCTAGGCATTACTGCACTTTCTAAGCATGCCGAATCTGCCTCTCTCTTACCCACCTTTTGCTGCTGTACTGTTTTCCCTTTAAGAAACCTCTGGGGTTTCTGTGAATCAGACCCCTTGCCTGATTTATCTCGTTTTGGTCTGGAATTCTTGGGCGCTTCTGACTTCAGTAAAGACAATGAGCAAAGGATGCTAAAACTCAGCTTTTGAAAAGCTAGTAGTAATCGCATATTTCTAATGTGTGCAGTCCTGCTAAGAGGAACAGGTAGCTTGGTGCTCTCATTGCAATGAGAAGACAAATCTAAATATGTGGGAATAGTGACTGCCTGGTCATCCTTTCTTAGTGACAAAACCTCAGTAAAGCGATAGCGTTTCAGGTGAATAATAAGAATCCTAGGTAGCTTGCTAAACTTGTATACTATATCAGATCTCTTGTGCTTACACTCCGCACACTTATACTCAAGCTCTTCTGTTGCAAAGAAGTGATCAAGAGTAGACTGAATAGACAAAGACTGTGTTTTCTTTCCTTGTGGTAGGTTGATGGAGAGATAATTATTTGGTTCTGTCTTATAAACAGCCTGACCACAAGCTTTACAAAATATAGAGCGCAGCAACTCACACTCAAAATTAGTTACGACAGGACAACCAGTCATTCCGGTAGCAGAATCACCAGAAAATGCCTGCTGAGGTAAACTTTGGTATTCAGATCTGCCAAAAATGCTTGACATTTCAAAGCCATCTTTCATCTGATCTAAGCAGAAGCTTAAAAATTCATGTGCATCATTCTGCGCATCCATAGAAAATATTTCTGCCACTAGTGAAAGTGTTTTTTTAATAGTTACAAGTAACTTCTCCTTGATGCTCATGTTAAAAACATCTTTCATAGTAAGCAGGAGTGCCATGCACAGGCAAAAAATATCATGGCAAATTCTTGCCCATGGGAAACGTTGATTGAGCACATCGTTAACAAACAATGGAATTGAACACAGGGACTGTAAGACTGCATTAATGTAACAGGTGTTTCCCAAATTGGGGAGACCTTGCCACCGTGCCTGTGAGTAAACTTTACTGGGCAACATGGGCTCTGAGCTGTCTGCACTATAATTTAGCGCCATCAGAAGCTCTCGAAGTGCATTTTCACTGAGATTTTGGAGGTTAGTATCACCTACGGAACGATCATCCAAAACATTGGCCACTGAAACAGGTGAGGCCTTCTTATTGCTCTGTACCTCTTTTGCTTTTGATGGTTTCTTCCAGTTGGGGCTTTTATATTTCAAAGGATTTGCATTGTATTTTATCAGGAATTTCTCACTTTCATTTGCCTCTAAATCGGAGGATTGCATTGTATTCTTTCCACGCTGAGTTTTTGACTTTTTACTAGGAAGTACTGATTTGGATGAAAGCAAAGATGTATCCCGAATGTATTTTCTACTTTCTTGGTTTGTCCCTGAGCATTCCTCATCAGATTTATTATAAATGCTGGGCAATGAACTTTCACTGATCTGTGTTGCTGTGCTGGCAGACACACTCTCATTATCTTCCTCATCAGGGTTCATGCGTGGTTCAGAATTATCTTGAGGGACACTGGCCAGAAACACCTTCAATTGTTCAGCATCTGTGGAAGCTAATCTTTCAACAATCAAGAAGCCATTATTTCGGAAAACCAAATGTAGATGAGTGAAGTCTTCTCCATAGGATGTAAAGGATGCACTTCTAATATTATTATTTAGATGAAAAGTTTTAACTTTTCCAGTCTTGAAGTAGATCAGCAGTTTAAAATTCTTCCTTCCTTTCACTGCTTCTAAGAATACATTTTGTGTCTTCGACATTCCTGACCTCTTGCTCCATATTTGGGCATAACCAGGTACCATTATGCTACTCATGTTTTCTTTACAGATGCACGTATCCTGGGGATTCTGACAATCTTGCGGCTTCAGTCTGTTTCCAAAATTCACCTAAGACAACACAAATAAATGATTTAGTTCTCTATACAGAACAATCCTATAGATAGTATTGGTTTTAAACTAAAAATCTCTTCAAATTCTGGACATCTAGCCCCTTATAGACTAAACTAATGCCTTTTAGATTCATCAACGATTGTATAAACGCAGAATGTTAGATACCTGAGGCAAGACAATTATGAAAAGAATCAAAAAAAAAATTCTTCAAACAGCAAAATGCTCAGATAAAACTCAAACTCTATTCCTATACATTAAAACTCATAGCAAAATGCCTGGATAAAAACTCTTATTCCTATACATTAAATCTCCTTTCTATCACAATATTAAATTCCATTCTCACTGACTTCTCCACTTCGATTTAAATCATTAAACACTATGAAGGCTTTCAATACACAGCTGAAAAGTATACTTAACAGTGTCTCAAGTGCATATCTATGCAATGTGACCTATGTGCCACAGATTGACCTCAGAGGGATGCACAGTAAGTGGATATGAAAGTAGAAGCACTCTATGGACCTAATGTAATAACAGATGAACATTCCTCCTATGTCGAAGGACTTCATGCCTGGGCTATTCAAAGTAAATCTATCTACTTCCTTCCAAATGCAGTTATGTTAACTTTATTTCACTTGGCACCAAAGTTTCTCTATGCATTTTATCATTCATTGGCAAAAGTTTAAGAAAGCAACTTCTTGCCAACCAGAAAACAGGCTAAACAGTTTTTTGCAATTGGCTCTTGTCAGCTCCCTGAACTCAAAACCAGCAGTGAGGTTTAGGGTCCAACTTAGTGGTGGATCATGTGCTTAGCATGTATGAGGTCCTAGGTTCAATCTTCAGTACCAAAAGAAAATTTACATAAAAGCTTGGTGGGGAGGATCAGTTATACTTAACCACTAAAAATTAGAAATGTCTGAATAATTCAGGCCAATTTCAGTTAATCAAACAGTCAGCACCACAAATGCTTGTATCATAAAGTAAATGATTGCATTCCCTCCTGCTTAAATATTCTTTCTGAATCTTCTCTATGCTATTAACTTGATCAGCGTTTATGGGTAATACAAAAGAAAAACTAGTGCTTGACCCATGTTCAAATGATCAAAAACTCAACACTGCTAAGAGTACAAATTAATGAATTTTTGTTTTATAAAATATAAAATATTTTGTTTTATAATATATAAAATCTATCAACCTATGTTCAGTGAAGTCAGGACTGCACCCAACAATATAGAAAAGTGCATATGTATCCAAGTGAGAGACTGTATATTTATCACAGTGGAAATGGGACCATAAAAACATTTAAGAACAGCAGCAAATTCAAGTGTTCTGGATTATAGTTCACCATTGTACTGTACATGCTAAATAAAAATTCAAGCCATTTCTTCTCTGCAAAAGAAAAGTATTAATTTTTCTTTTTAATGGTTTTAACTCCTTGAGAGAATCTACAGTCAGAAATTTTGAAATCCCGGCCCATCTACATTTATCAAACATAACTGTCTTTTATTGTCAGTGATACTGAAATACTAAAACACTTCTTGCATTTTCTCTGCCTTCAAACACACAGTTAAGACACATATATTTAGAGAATAATGACTATATTCTATTACTTCTTCCTCAGAGTCTGACTCAGATTTCACTCTGGAATAAAGCAGACTTCTTTGAGCCCAATAAGCATGCAAAATGAAGATTATGAAACATTTTGCTGATGTGCACCTGAGCAATGTAACTACTGCACAATTCCCTAGCATATCTTAAACTTAAAATCTCCTTTTCCATTTTGCCTAGTCGCTCAAGGCTTTCAAAGTATCCCTTAACTAGTCATTTGTAGATTTTAAACTGCTATGTATTAGTTCTCTGAGACTCTACTGAAAAGCAACAGTGTGACTACGTTATGGGGGTACAAATCCACTTTACTATAGCAACACTCCGGCTCCCTTTATATCCCCAAATGAGACTTAAAACATACAAGTGATAATTACACTCAAAGGTTATGAAAGTCAACATGCTTTTTATCTTATTTTTCCTACAAACTTCATGAAATAATTTGATCACTGCAAGTGCAATATAATGGACTAGCTGCTGATCTCAAAACATAACCAGACACTCTCTCAAAACTACTTCCATCGGATCTGGAGGCACATCCTACAGTATCAAGAAGCTGGACATTAGGGCTAAAACTCCAAGGAGAAATGCCTACATTACTGTTAATTTACTAATTCACTCTACATTGGTCTACTTGGTGATATCATTGAGATAATCTGCTCCTGAGCACCTGCTATATATTACATAACATGATTTGTTGAGCATCTACTCAACCAGCTCTCTTAGGAACAGAATATTCATTGTACCTAAATGATTTAGACTCTAAACCCATCGTTGTGTAAGTATCACAAGAAAAGAAGGACTTCCTTCCAGTGCAGATAAAGAATCAAGGAAAATATCCTTTCAGTGCCATTTTAATTTGGTAAAAAAGAAAAACCTGTAATGAGATTTCTCGGGCATTGCCTCAACTCCCCAAAATGCCTGGGTTAGCCTCATTCTTTAAAAAAGAAATGTGCCTATGCAAATAATGTTGGTAAATTTAAAAAATCCCAGGTTATTAATTTCAAATTAAGGTCATTTTAACAAGGAACTGTGTGGCTTTATAATCTTTAGCTTCTGTACCATGTATTTATATCTTCCATTATTTATGCTTTCATTATTTCAAGTGCAAGAAAAACTTGAAAACAAATGACTATATGCCTTTGAAATTTGAACATCCATTTCTCAATTCCAAAGAGTTCACTACAAAAGAGTACTAAAGGAAGAAACCTAGATGAAAAATTATTTTCTTTCAAGTATTTTGGTTAGATAGATGATTCTGTAAGAAGACACATAACCATTTGTTTTGTATACTTTACAATGCGCTACAGTCTAAAAGCAGGTGAAAAAAGTCCAGAAAATCCTTTAAGGCTCAATGACAATGCAAAAGTAATACTTCTATGTCACTTTTCCATTAACATGTAAGTACAGTACACATGTATATATCTCGTGGAGTAGGTAAAGATCACTGTATAGAACGTGGTGTGGCAAAGTGGTGAAAAAGTTTCATTATCACATTAGTCATGTAGAGTAAAAAAAAATAAAGAAATAGTATGTAATCAGTTTGGAAGCAAAATGCATGGAACTGAAGACCATCACATTAAATGAAATAAGCCAGACTGAGAAAGACAAGTATCATATCTTTTCCCAAATATCTGGAATATAAAGGAGATGATATGAAAGTGGAAGAGAGATTACTATTAGGGAGGAATAAGAGAATAAAGGAGTATAAGGCACGGTAAGAGGGATGGATACCATCAAAATATATTATATGCATATATGAAAATATCATGCTGAACTCAGTATTTTATAAATTAAATGGGCATTAAAAAGCAATCTGGTTTAGTTACCAAAGCAAGCCTCACTGGAAAAAATGACGATCTCCACAAAGTGGAGTACTAGCCCATCCATGTATTCAGTGCATGGAAGAGAGGGCCAAGCAATTACCACAAAGGTTTATAGTAACTTCAGTCCTTCTCCAATAATTCTGGCCAACAGTCTTGAAAAACAAAGCATCTCCAACTCACAATTACATTGAACAGTACATATACATGTTACTAAACTTTGAACAGGTTAACTTCACTGTGGGTCCCCATTGAGTGAACTGAAAAGTGATCATCAAAGCTGCCATTTAGGGCTCCATCCTATGAGACTGTGATTCTAGGTATGATATACATACACTAAGAACCCTGGCTTTCCCAACACAGTCCAAATAAAAGGCCTCCTCCATCCAACAGTTTTCTACAACAATTGAATGATGTGTACCATATTTTAGCTGTTCTCACATACAAAAAAAGATGTAAGGATGGATAGGAAAATACGTGAGGTCTGGTAAATGGAAAAGTGCCTTCTCAAAAGCCAATAGCCATTCATTCATCAAATACGTACTTATTACTTGAAAGCACTGTATATCAAGCTATAGGTACAGAATAAAAAGAAACACAAATTCAGGCCATCATAAGTTTCATTCTAGCAATGGGACAGAAAACACAGCAATCTAAAATAGAGTGTAGAGTATATGACATTTAGAAAGCTGCTAAGAAAGAATTAAAATATTTGGAGCAGTGTGCCAGGATGATTGGGAGGTCTTAGAAATGATATGATGCATGACTTTGAATGATGTAAGGAAGCTAATAGATGCAGGGTGCTCCAGGCAGGAATAAACAAAAGATAGATCCCACAGGTAGACATGTGCTCGACAGGACAGAAACAGGAATCAAGCCAGGGTAGCTAAAGAACAGTGAAGACATTCTAAAAGAAAGATGAGAATGTTTTATCAAGGAACCGGAGATTGAACTGACTAGTAATGGTGCTGAGTAGCATTAAGCACCAAGGGTTGAGTTAGGCTCATGTTCATGGTGAGACCAATCAACACATTTTGTTTTTCCCCAGCTGCATTCAGCTGCCCACTTGCCATGGTGCATATGTGTAACAGGCAAACCTTGAGTTTAACTTGCTAAATATTTTATCATTCATAAGTATCCAGGTACGAAGAAATTGGGAACTAAAGGTATAAGAAAGGGCATAATTACAAAGATGGAGCTAAAAAGGATGAAATGGGGACAGAAGATAGAAAGACATGAAAAAGCTTCATGAAATACTTAGGGGGTGGGGTAGAAGCATCAGGGGACCAGGAACCCAGTTCTCATTTCAGTAGCTGTAATTCTGCCCCCTGCTTCTAAGCAGCTGTCAACTTCCTGCAGACTTCCTTCTTCTATTCTCCTCCCATCTTCCATTCTATTTTTCTATTCATGCTTATCCTGGCTCCCAAGCTGGAAGTAAATAATAGGAACAGGGTGGGGTGGGGAGATGAATGTTAGGGGTACTTGCACCGGGTAAGAAACAGGCATGATCAGATGCAGTGGATGAGGAGGTGGGGGCAGGCAGAAGGGGAGAGGAAACCACCCTCTCCCCTT